TGAAAAGAGTGTCAAAGTATCGGTTCCTATCAGAAGCAATGAAAATGAATGAATTCGTTTATTTATGAATTAATGAATATGATACATTGGATTAGTAAAGTGTGGAAGTATCAGTTTCTACAAGAAGTAATGAGCATAAATGTTGTAGTGTGTTTGAGAATTAATGTATCTGATACAAGAATGTTATCTAATTTTTGTATCAAATTATATACGACAAGATTGTTCATCAATGTACTTCATATATAACAGGTGAAAAAATTGAAAGTTGCGATACATTAAATCTTGAATTATATGTAACTGATACAATATTTAGTATGAAACTTGAAATAGCAGATACACATACACAAACCCATAAACAAAACACAAACTAAGTCAAATTATAATGTATTTTATTTCAAATAGTGTGTAAGGATTTGCTTGATAACATAACTCATAGTCTGTAAGAATCCAAAATCATAACAGAATATTATGCAAAAATAACAACCTGTTATTAAGATGATACAAAATATAACACATTGTTAAGAAAGACACATTAATGACTGAGATACAAAAAATAACAGATACACAAACATACCCACAAACAAAACACGTACGATACACATACAGACCCATAAATAAAACACATTATATGTAACTGATACAACATTTACTATGAAAGACACATTATATGTAACTGATACAATATTTAGTATGAAACTTGAAATAGCAGATACACATACACAGACCCATAAACAAAACACAAATGATACATTAATGACTGAGATCTACTGAACAATGTATGTTATAACAGTTGAAATAAAATACATCATAATTTGACTTAGTTAGGGTTAGTGTATAAATTGATTACAGATAATAACGATACATTAAATAAGAGACCTGAATTTGTGCATTTTTTGTATCATAAATTGATTAACTAACAAAAAAATGTTCTCCTCCCAACCAGTATCTTCATAGTCATATATCCGATTAGTGTTAGCATCATCCATCTGATTCAACAGTTAGAAGAACAGACAAAAGAGTATTTCAACAGTATAAGCAGAAACAAAAGAGGATTACAAGAAAAGTATCAAATTTACCTAGAGTATACACAGAGAGATACTTGATTTTGAAGAATATTGGAGAAATCAACTGTCAAAGAAAATGTGCAGAAGTTTTAGGAGAGAAATAAGAAAAGAATGAACTCTGGTTTTTAGTGTAGGAAAGGCCCAATATTGTATCCGTGAGATTTTTTGACTTAAAAGAGAAAAAGAGGGATTTTGGGGATTAATAAAACTATTAAGGGAAAATAGTAATAAGTAAACTTAAGGGGGGGATTTGTGTCATTTTGCCTATTTACAAAGTAGCTAAAGCGTTTTTATGTACATTTTAGAAAGGAAAAATTACTTGGATTGATACCTTTTAATAATTTATTATCGATTTTAGCGATACCTTTTATTTATTATCATTTATAGCAATATATAAATATACTATGTTAAATATTAAAAGTGAATTATGTATGTAATATATATGCATTATTACTGTTTTTTAAATATATTATGCTTGTTTGGTAAGAAATTGACACATTGAATTATAAGTGTATTAAAATGTGTGATAAATGTACTATCTATCAATAAAACTTGTATATTATATGTGAATAATAAATTGTTCTTTGTAATATGCATTAAAACTGTATTATAAATGTATTCAAAGTAATCAAGTGAAAAAAAATGTTATTGCTATAAATGGTAAATATTTTCTTAATATGATATATTTATGTAAGTTCCCGTTTTAAAAAAGTTGTATCTGTGTTAAATAGAGTAACAAATTTTGGCCCACACTTACCTTTTCACCAAGCCCAATTGTCAGGCCCGTTTTCATTAATTCCATTTATATTTACTTTGTAAAGTAACCCAAGTTGTATGACCCAAATTGACATTAAACAATGGGAAACGTATAAAAATTTCACTAGTTTAGGAGATAATTATTTAGATGCACTCTAGTTTGTAACATCACAAATTTAATATACTCTTATTAGTTAATTATATTCTCGACACGCCTCCTCACATGTAGGTATGATTATTTTTTCATGGGCCAAACACTTGATTTTTTTATTTTTTTTATATGGGTGGCGGTGAGATTTGATCCCAAGAAACCTCTACCCGCTCTGATACTATGTTGAAGTGTGTAATCATTTTATCTAAAAGATTAAGCTTTTAGAGAGAACACACTTTTATTGGTTAATTCTATTCTCAACAAAAATCAGGTGAAATTTGTTCTAGATACACTGCATCCAAGTGGATTCACATGTATCTAGGATACATAACAAATTTTGCTCACTTCTTTCCTTATTTTAGTGTATCTGATAGCAAAAATACATGTATATAGATATATTTTCCTCAATATATAATAGGAAACTCTTAATTAATGATAAAATACATAATATTTAAAAAGTATAGGTAACAATACTATATATATTTTCCTCAATATATAGTAGGAAACTCTTAATTAATGATAAGATATATAATATTTGAAAAGTATGGGTAACAATACTATATATATTTTCCTCAATATATAGTAGGAAACTCTTAATTAATGATAAGATACATAATATTTGAAAAGTATAGGTAACAATACTATATATATATATATATAGTAGGAAACTCTTAATTAATGATAAGATATATAATATTTGAAAAGTATGGGTAACAATACTATATATATTTTCCTCAATATATAGTAGGAAACTCTTAATTAATGATAATATAAATAATATTTGAACAATATAGGTAACAATACTACTCCCTCTGTCCCAATTTATATGACTCACTTTCCTTTTTAGTCAGTCCCAAAAAGAATGACACATTTCTATTTTAAGTAACAATTTGCCTATGAAAATGTCTTTTTTTACCCCTTAATGAAATGATTTACAACCACACAAATTTCTATCATTCATTTTGGACCACAAGTTTTAAAAGTCTTTCCATTTTTCTTAAAGTTTGTGCCAAATCAAAGTACATCATATAAAATGGGACGGAGGGAGTATATATAATAATGGAGTATGTAAATGTAGTAAGAGGGTGTTTGATTTGGCTTTAAAGTTGGTTAAACTTGCTTTTAAGTCAGTTTTTGACTTTTCGAAGTGTTTGACAAATATAAAAAATAACTTAAAATAAGTAAAAAATGACTTCAAATAAGTTAGGAAATGTTTGACAAAGTCAAAAGTGACTTAAAATAAGTCAAAAATCAGAAGTAGGTCTTCCCATACTTTTAATTGTTTGACTTAAAAATTATTTCAGTTTGACTTTTTATTTTTGACTTAAAAGTTATTTCAATTTGATTTTTTATTTTTGACTTAAAAGTTAATTTCAATTTGACTTTTTTTTTTGACTCAAATACGAAGTACTTTTTAAGCGAATCCAAACGGGCTCTAAATCTATAAGCCCAAACCCAATATCCCCCCCCCCCCCCCCCACAAAAAAAAAAAAAAAAAA